AGGAGTGACCGGAGGGCACGGAGAGTGTGCGGGGCTGGGCCTGGGCTGGGGAGGCGGGACGCGGGGCTGGCTGCGCTCGTCCCGTCAGCAGGATTAGGCAGCTCTGCTCGGTCGGGGGCCCGGGCTGAGTGGTACAACCCGTCGGATGCCGTGGGACTTGGTCACGTCAGGAACGGCGTGTGCCCGGAGCAGGTGACCCTGCTGCTCAGTCTGGCGGTGCCCTGGTCTGGCAGTAAGTGGGGCGACACTGTGGAGTCTTGTCATGCCGTGTGGTGTTCAGGAAGCTCGTGTCTCCATCACGAGAACGGAAGAGCCGATGCCCGGTTTCCAGAGTCCTGAGCTGTGCTTGTGCCCTGCAGTTTTCTTGCAGATAAGCAAGCCAAGCAGCCTCTCTTCTGTTTAGTGACATTTATGACCTGGTTTTTGCATAGGGCTAATGCTGCATCATTAGGTTTTGAAGTCCAAACCGATTCCCTGGGAAAGGTGTCACACTGATGAAATGCTGTCTCTGTGGGAGTTTTGAAACCTTTGTTGTGCATGTTGATAATGCCAAGTTCAAACGGACCTGTCATGTTAGCTGTGAATCCTCGTGAACTTCCTGGAGTGATTGATTCATTCTGCTTTGTAGCCTTTTGAAGGTGTAATGTAACTTTGGGTGTGCAGTCAGCCTGACGAGCAGTGTGCTGCTCAGCATCCCCGTGCTGACAGGCTGGTGTCTCCTCTCCCCACATGGGATTAAGGGTCCCATGCTCTACCGACTGAGCTAGATGGCTTTTCCGCCATCTTGCTGCACCGGCACCATGGTGCGCATGAACGTTCTGGCCGATGCTCTCAAGAGCATCAACAACGCCGAGAAGCGTGGGAAGCGGCAGGTGCTGATCAGGCCGTGCTCCAAAGTCATCGTCCGGTTCCTGACTGTGATGATGAAGCACGGTAGGTCTGGGCTGCACAGGGCTGGCTGCTCACACCCCTGCCTTCTCTGGGTGCTCTTACTGTAGGGTCTTTTTGACTTACATTGCAACACTCAAACTAGTTGTGTACAGCATAGTTACCTGAGCTGTGTTAATGTAGCTAAGCAGGATGTGCTTGATGTGTCTGCTGATCTTTTCCTCTAGGTTACATTGGTGAATTTGAGATAATTGATGATCACAGAGCTGGGAAGATTGTTGTCAATCTCACAGGCAGACTCAACAAGGTACGATATGTCTCCCTGAATTGGGTTCTGTAGGAATGTGTTTAAATGAGACTATTTTTTTTAATGTTTGTTTGCTTCAGTTCTGAAATAATTACTTGTAAGGAAGGTAGTATTAATTTAATCCATGTAAAGCAAAGTAATATGACTTATTAGTGGTTATTGGATGCTTGTTAATTTTTCTAGACTTATAATAATATGGTGGCTAATTACATTTCAGTTAAACTCTAAATATTTAAGATGTTTTCATCTCTTTCCAAGTGATGTGTGTTTCTCTCTTTAAAGGCTTTCTCCCTGCCTAAAGATTGCTCTTTTTTTAAAATTTTATTTTAAGCTCAGATTTTTTTGGTCCAAGGTATCTAGAAGACTTGTCTTAAGAGGTTGAGACTGAGTTGCTTTCCAGTTGAGTAGATGTTGAGGAGAGAAGCTTTTCTGCTGCTGTTAGATGGGCTTTGCTTGCAGTTAAGGGAAAGTTGAATATTATGTTAATTAGTGATTTTTAAGTTTCTTGGGGCATATGAAGTATTCATGCATGTTTTAGAAATTCTTCAAATGCTTTTGTCTCTAAATACTGAGCTGTCTAGTTCTGTGGTGACTTGCTCTGCATGATTATTTCCAATTAAGCTCTTCAAATAAGATTCTATAGTAAATAAGAACAGTTCCTTGGTGGCAGTATGTTGGGGGCTGTGTCCATGATGAACAAATATTACAGCTGAAAGTTGCTTGAGTGCAGAGAATTCTGACACCACCCAAATTACTAGTGTTATGTGTCTGCAATAAAAATCATGTATGTCAGGGTTGAGGATAATGTTCGTTGACTTCTTCTGGGACAACTTTGTAACAGATCACTGGATATAATGTTTCTCTCAGTAGTTGCAATGAGGGAACAGTTGTTTGGTTCAGAAAATGCCCATTGGGGCAGAAGTACACTTCTATTCTGCTCTTGGATATTAATCAAGATAATCAGAGGCAGTCACATATAAGGAGGTGGTGGTAGTTTGCATGGTCAGTAAGTAGTACAGTTAACTTGGAAACTTTGATAACTTTTATGCATGTTCATTTCTCCCTTTTTAAAATCTACATTTTTTTCCCCCCTATCTTTTTATAATGATTAGAAGTAGAATATCCCCAAGTATTGACAGCTTTTCTGATGATATAGGGTGCTTAATAATCCCTAGTGGTTTTTTGTACACTTTTGTGCTCTCCCAGATGTAGACATTGATTTGTGAGTTTAGCTGCATCAGCAGTGCAAGTCACTGTTTAGGTGAGGAGGAGGAGGTGAGGCTAAGGAAAGAAAAGCTGAATTGCTGTTATGAGAGTCTCACCTGAGAGAGAGGAAGCTGTTTCACACCATGGGAAATGGATTGTGCTTCTTGGTACTCTCATCTTTGGCTGCCAAAAATATTTTAATTGCAGTTGTTGAATTCTTTCATTCAGTGAGCTGGAATGATGTGTACAAATCCCGTTTATAAAGTTCTTCCATTGGTAATGGAATTCTATTTTATAGTGTGGTGTGATCAGTCCCAGATTTGATGTTCAGCTGAAGGATTTGGAAAAGTGGCAGAACAACCTGCTGCCTTCACGTCAGTTTGGGTAAGTAGGGAGAAGATTATAAATCCACCTCATATGTAAAAATGTGGGTTTTCTTATTACACTTTGATACTGCCTGAGTTGGACTCCCCTGGCACCTTTCTTCTCTGATCATGCTGGAGGTAGATACTAGTCCAAAAATCCATCTTCCATATAAATACTCTTTAACCAGTTTCAACAGGGCTCTGCTAAGCAAGTACCTATGTTTTCTGGGTTCTAGTTTCACCTTTTCTACAGTTTATCAGTTTATTATTACTCATTTAAATTTTATTAATCGTCATTTATAGATGGGAGCTGCACCTCTGTGGCTTACTAGGTGTCATGTATTTTAAGAGAATTCATGGAGTGGTAGTACAAGAGGTTATCCAACAGGAGGCTGTGGAGATGGATTGTGCTGATAATCCAGATTTGGCATTGGCCATGGCTGAGGCTGCTCCAGGTGTCAGTCCAGACACTGAGTGCCCAGTGCTGGGCAGCTCTCTGGCACCAAGTCAGCTCTACCTGCTCTGAGGAAAATGTCTGCTCTAAGAAGTGGCATATTTGTCTGGAAACTACAGAAGTGCTGCTGCTACAACAGCTGATCTGACTTTACAGTGGGAATGTGCTTCTTGCTGAGACTCAGCGAGTAATTTGGAGAGCAGATGCCTATAAATGTCCTTCATGTGCTGCAGAGTTGTACTTGAGGTTCTTTTTCATTGCCTGAAACCTTAGTTCCGTGAGACCAGTTCTCACAGGAGCAGAGCTCACTGGTGTAGCACAGACATGAAGTTAGTGCTGTCAGCTCTGAGCTGGCGTGGAACAAAACCATAAACTGAACATCTGTTCTTTCTCACTAGGTACATTGTACTGACAACCTCAGCTGGCATCATGGACCATGAGGAGGCTAGGCGAAAACACACAGGAGGCAAAATCCTGGGATTCTTTTTCTAAAACTTGTAAAAAAAGAGGATACTAATAAATTAATTACTCAAATAGACTCTGTTTCCAGTTGGTATTTTAATGACTTCTAACAGTACCTGTGATAGTGCTTGTCGCAGACACTTCTTCAGCAGTACTGGAGTTTACTGGAGATGACATTTTGGTTCTACGGCAGCCCTGGTCACAACATGCATTTCTGTTAATAGTATAATGTCCTTTCAGTAATTACCACTTAAATTGCAGCAGAACTCACTGTACAGAACAGCCTCAGCAGGGGAACTGCATACTCTGCTATAATGTGGTGGGGTTGCCTCTTGGGTGTTGGGATACATCTGTTTCCATAGTTACATAGATATGTGACTATAATAGTTTCATGTTTTAGCTTAATTGAAGATGCCTGAAGATACTTCCTCTTTATGGTTTAAAAAGTTATGAAATACAAGGTTGTGGGTAATTAAGATTGTGAAGTTTGATTTTTTGAATCACAAACTTGTTCCACATCTTACACTGTAAGGAGTGACTGAGGTACAGAGGTGAGTAATGTTTTTCAAATTTCTAGTTTGAAAGTTCTTTGAAACATCAGTTCTGAGTAGGGTACTTGCAGCTGCTTTCCATATTACTGTGAGGATGTAACTTTCTTTTGGGAGTAAGGAAATGAGCGTATCTGAATCTAGAGGTGTGAATGTTTGGTATTGAATGAGTTGTTGGTCTTTGTTTCAGGCATCTGATGCATGACAGCACAATGTTCTTGATGCAGAAAAATCCACAAATTTATTTGCAAGCCGTACACAGCAGGTGGCTGCAGCTGAAGAGCTACTTGGATGGTAAGAGAAGTGAGCTGGGCTGATGGTATTGTCCTTCAAAAGCAGTTGGAGATCCCTTGTCTCATTTTCTGTGGAGTCTTCATTAGAAAGGAACTCATTCAAATGTAGCAAGCCTATCTCAACAGGCTTCAAAGCAGCTGTTGAATTTGTGGTTCTCCTGATACAACCAGTTGGAAACGATTTTCCTTCTTGGTGATATGTCCTGATGATTGATGTGTGCAGTTTGAGTTTGGGAGTGTTGTGCCTTGAATGTGACACTGCATCAAAGCTTTTCAGAGAGCCTTGGGATTGAAGTGACTGGCTCCAGGCAAAAGTCTTTGTCACTATGTAACATGGCAGCTCTGTTACTTTTTATGTTGAAAAGGCGAAAGTGATACTAATGCTGAGCAAACTGGTCTTAACTCCTAGACAGGCAGCATAGTTGCCTGGTGTGGTGGCTCTTTGAGGAGCAATTCTTAGCCTAAGTGTGCTGGTGGGGTGCACTAGTGTCCTGTAACACACCTGCAACTTGACTGAGAAGAGCAAGGGAATAATAAAAAACTGCAAATTTGCCTCTTGTCTCAGTCACATGCTGCTTAAGGTCAAAATATGGATTGCAGGTGGCACCAAAACATTCACATGCTGTCAGTATGGTTCTCAGTTTGATGGGAAACAAATTTGCTTAGCTGAACTGTACACTGAATTACAAAGAGTAGCTAAGAAGGCCCCTTTTTATTGTCAAATAAAGGTATTTTGTTGCAAGGGTTTTTTTCTATTGTTAGAGATAATTCTGCAGTACTAAACACTGATAGATGTGAGGGTTTGTATTTCTTGCTCAGAATAACACTGAAGTTAATTCCACTATTTTAATAAAAATATTGATTTGTGTCAATCTGGAATAGAACACGTTTCTGATACCTGATGGAAGAAGGTCAGTGACACTTTAAGGCTTCATTTAAATGAATTTACTATGGCTTGAAGTTTGAAGTGCTAGTTTGACATCCATGTTTAAACATTTTTTATACAGGAAATGTCCGTTTTTCTGAACCAGTTTACCTGTTTATGTGCTTTCCTACCACAAAGACTTCTGAAGTAAGAATTTCTGATGTTCCCAGGTGGTAGACCAGTTTGGAATAGACTTAATTTATTTCACAAGCCAGCCCAATGCCTTGTGTAGAATCATTAAATGGAAGTGAGAGCTCCAGTGCAGAAAGAATGAGGAGGAGGCAAGAATGGAGCAGCAGTTGCACCTTTTCCACAGTATACCTGAGGTAACTACATGCTGGTTTACCACATGTGGAAGCTGATGCAGCTGATCTAAGTTCATAAGATGATCTCTGAGCTTGCACCTCACTGACGAGAGCTTTATTCCTGGGCAGTCACAGCTGGCTGAGATCCAAGGAACTTCTGAAGTGGGACTCGGAGTCTGACACACAGGATTGCAGCACAGCTGATTTAAATGAGCTTGCAGATATTCTCGGACATGTATAAATCTGAAAGTGGTATTTTATTTTAAGCCTCAGATGTTTTCTGGGCTGAGGGCACATGTCCTGGGAAAACAGTTTGTAGGTAAAAATAACTTGTTTTGGGTAGTAAAAGGATTAATAGGGAGAGGTGAGAGGGAAAGTGGCACAAAGCTGAAGGTGCAGCATGGGTTGCAACTGCCAATCTGGGTGAAGTCTGGAAAAAGTGGTACCTCTCTGGAAAAAGTGGTACCTCTGGAGCAGAGAGGGAATTAAGGGTGGAGGTTTCCTCTATGGGACAGAGGCAGCTGATCTTCATGAGGGGAAATGGGTGGGTGGCACCTGGAAAGGTGTCTGTGCTGCAGTCCCCTGAATTATCAGCCTTTACCTCGACCTATTCTGGATACCCTTCAACCTAACACTGAAAAGTCTGGAAGTGATTATATCACCCCTGTACCCTCTAGCTGCACAGTCTAGAAGTCCTGGCCTTCTGGCTGGAGGTCTGTTTCTGTGGCCAAACAAAGTCTAAACAGCTGGGTCTGGGGGAGCGTGGCTGCTTGCCTGGCTATTGTGGCATGGAGTGCCTGAATACACTGCAGTATGGATTGTCTATGGAGATGCTGCACTACAGTCCATCCTACGTGCTCAGGTGTCACAGGAAGGTAAGCACCAGTAATCTCAGCCACAGGTGGTGGCCTGACTTACTGTGAGCTGTGAAAATCACCAAGTCGGAAGTAGGTGAGAGTTGGTGACTCCTCTGCTAAGTACATCCTGGTCTTCTGCTGTCAGATAAAAAATAAGGGTTTTTTATGGATGCTTTTTGCAATTGCTTATTACGCCGTTGTTTAAGAACAGGTTAAAACACGTTTGAACAGCCTGCCACACGTGAAGGGAAATACCGAGTTATCCTTGGGAGGTTGTCAATAGATGGCAGCATCTGACTTTGAACGGCTGGAGGCTGAGGGTGCTCTGTTGTGGGAGGAGTCCCAGGAGGGCTTTTCATTGCTGCTGGTCTCCTTGCTCCTTCTCCAAAGCTAAATATCCTGACTTCTCCTGTACTCTGGTCCTCAAAGATAATTTTTTCTGTATTTGATGAAAAAGAGCTCGATTTAAGATAATATGGGAGGTGAGAATTAAGTATGGATCTTCATCATGCAGCAGCTGGGTAAAAAGCCTGGTGCATGAGAAGGGCTTCTCTGGAAATGCCCTTTCTCCTCATTTTGTTTGTTTTCTGCCAGCTGATTCAGTCAGCTCCATTCCCCCAAACAGAGCGTGAGGTTTCTCAAACTCATGTGCCAATTACTTGCACCAGAAATGCAAGCAGTAATTAAACCTTGGTTTTCAGTGTCTGAAGTTATTTGAGTGACTTTCACACCTGCTGGAGTCTAGAGGAAAGCAGCAATGAGAGGCAAGGATGTGTGTGGCTCTGCAGCAGGAAGCTGGGAGAGAAAAGTGGTGGAAGTGGTGAGTGAGGCTTTAGAGCTCACCTCAGTGGGTTTGGCCCTGGATAGTTATTTTATTTCACAGCAGGGAAAGAATGAGAGGTCGCTGTGGTTCTGGTGGAGAAAATGGGAGTTTTGGCCTTTGGTAGGACCATTCTTAATGTAGCTGGTACTGCTGGTGTCCAGTGTTATGTGGTGGCTACCCATGGCTTTGGAAGGTGTCCTGGCATTTCTGATCTGACTGCACTGGGTAAGCAGTCACCAAGTGATTCTTACTCAGTGTGTGGCTGCTAATTTGAGCCCACACATATTCACATATTTATATAGGGAGCACAAATGAAATCTGTACCCTTGGAGTGCTGTGATGCACTGGGCAGATGTGTCGTGTTGCGAGTGGAGCATCAGCACAAGCAGGGAATTTCACCATCTCGAAAAGCATTACAGTTCTACCAGGACAGACTGTACTGACTGGATCTTTTCTCATGCAGTACCTAGAATGAAAAGATGATGAGACGTTTGTTTAATAATAAAATTACAACCTGGTAAAATGTGATACTTGTGATATGACAGTATTTTAGTCCTGCTGGGTCTGTGTAACACAGGTTTCAGCTGGGTGCTGAAAGCAGGAGGGTGTGCTAGTGGTGGAGCTACCTTTACAAGTGGAGCAAAGCTATGATGATTACTCCAAGCAAGCCTTAAGCAAATTAAAACCCCTTTTGCAAAATATCTGGGCCAGTGACAAGCCTCAGTTTAACAGGGTAATCAAATTCACATCTGCTTTCTTCAATAGACTAAACATAGCTGCCTGCTACAACTGCGTTGTTTCCTACAACCCTGTTCCCCTTCCTTGGTACACCAGTTGTGACACTCAGCTGTTTAAGCAAGCCTCTGGGGACATGTATTTTGTTCTTAGGTTGGCATCAGGGCAGTAGTCATTGTGCAGTTGCAGTTGATCAAATTTTAGTGCCATGCAACAGCATAATGCAGCAGGGCACTTGAGGTCAGCCAGCTGAAAACACCCAGCAACCACCACTTACACTTTTATAGTGACATAAAACATTGTTAAAGTGGATGCCAAATGGTCTATAAAAGCAAATGAGTCAGGTGCATATTTTAAGGAAACGGGTAGCTTATTCTCCCTGTTGTGGGCTGTAATTCTGATCCTGAGGACACCTCATCTTACCAGTTTTGTGACTGAGTTGAGAATAGTGATGCTGTTGGTGCAGTTGTGCTGGGAGGGATGGATGTGGACCTTTGCTTTGGGGTTAAAAGGGCAGGATTCAAGTTCCAAGTATAGCTTAGTTACAGTTTATTGAGGGTTTTATCTGCTAGTGC